ATTTTAAAACCGTAAGTCCTAATCCTAACTATAGATTCCGCTGCGTTAGGATTTATTATTCAATAGATTTGAATGTGCACATTGTCGACGTTCCTAATAGAACCCAACAAATCCAACACTGGTGCAAGGAGGAGCGATGGCGCAAGGAGGAGCGCCACCACATGCAGCTGTACCAGTTCCCGGCCAGCAAATGGTGACGATGACCCAGTAGGAGATGCAGAGGATAGCGGCGGCCGCGGCGGCGCAGGCGGTGCAGCAGGTTACGAGCCACACATCTCATGCCACCACTGCGCTGACCACGGTGGCCGGGAACCAAGATGAGGATGTGTCCAGTTATGGAGAGGGAGGAGTTGGAAGAGATCGGGCGATGGAGAGGATGGAGGAGCAGTTGCGCCAGTTGCAGGACAAGGTGGAGGGGAGGCCAGAGAGGAGAGCTCGAGGACATCCCTTTTCGAGGGAGATTCTCGCTGCTCATTTGCCGAATAATTTCAAGGAGACCAACTTGGTGTATGAAGGGTCTTCTGAACCGTCGAGGCATGTGAGGACCTTTGAAAATATGGTTGTGTTACATGGATATTCTGATTCTGTTTGTTGGAGGGCGTTCCTATCGACCTTGCGCGGAGTAGCCCTTGACTGGTTTCACCAGTTGCCCTCTGGGTCGATTGCAGATTTTGAGGATTTTGCCAGCAAGCTTACCAATCAATGTTCGAGCGCGGTGGTGCATGAGAAAACATATTTGACATTGATGGCAATGAGACAGGGGGAGAAGGAGTCATTGAGGAAGTACGTCGCTCGATACAACCAGACGTGTTTGGAAGTGCATTCGGCTTTAGATGAGGTGAAGGCGGGAGGATTGATAAGGAGTCTTCGAGCAGGGCCTTGCTGAACTTCCCTTGCAAAGACCCCTGCTCGATCATATGAGGAGGTCTTGAAGCGGTGCATGAAGTATATTAATTTAGAAGAAATGGAGGTAGAATTCGCGAAGTTGGAAGGGCCGGCTCGACCAGAGCCAAAGAAGGAGCAAAGCCCACCAAGAGGGAGGTCACCGAGGAGGAGTTCGCCCAAGAGAAGTGGGTCGAAAAAGATATCACCCAGGAGGGAAGCTCGAGATTCGAAGCGAGAGAAGAGGGATGACAGGTGGCAGGGAAGGCCGTTGTTGTTCGAAAGACAGAGGTATCATAATTTTACACCCTTGAAGAAGGATTTGACGGAGGTGCTCAAGGCTATGGAGCAGAAGATGTCGAATGAGGATGTAACGTGGCCGAAGACAAGGTTCACAGGCCCGACTCGGCCCAGATCGGATATATATTGTCGATTTCATCGAGATTACGGCCATACCATGGAGAACTGCAGGCATTTGAAGGATGAGATTGAAAGGTTGATTCGAGCAGGATAGTTAAAGGAGTTCGTGTATCATGATAGGGCGAAAGGGAAAGGAAGGAGAAGGTGTCGGGATGATTCAGAGGAGAGAAGTGACAGGGACGAGGAAGGAGGCGATGGAGATGGTCAAGATGGTCGAGGAAAGAAGCCGAGGATAGATGGTGATAAAGGAGGGCACGGAGGAGAAGCCCTGATGAAGAGAGGGACAATTTACATGATTTCCGGAGGGCCAACGGATGGCGACTCGAATATGGCCAGGAAGGAGCATGCTCGAGATGTGAAGAGGAAGAGAGAGGAGGTGGGGATTACGACTCGTATGCCGGTGATAAGTTTTAAGGCGGAAGATGCTGAAGGAGTGGTCTTAGCACACAACGATGCTTTAGTGATAACCGCGGAGGTTGCAGGCTTTGACGTGAAGAGGGTGTTTATCGATACTGGGAGTTCGGTAGACGTGATGTTCTATGACTGTTTTGTACAAATTAATAAGGATTTGAATATGGAGTTGAAATCGGTGACCACGGCACTTTATGGTTTTAACGGAGGAGAGGTGATGCCGATAGGCGAGATAAGCTTGCCAGTGGCATTGGGAGCAGGAGAGCTGAGGAAGGTGCGCATGGTGAGGTTTGTGGTCGTGGGAGCTGAATCATCTTATAACATCATCATGGGGCAGACAAGCTTGAATGCGTTCCAGGAGGTCGTATCCACGTACCACATGACGATCAAGTATCCTGTGGGCGAAAACGTAGGGGAGATTGCCGGGGACCAACTCACTTCGAGGAGCTGCTATCAAACAACAGTGAGCAATAACAAGCAATTGGCGAGAAGGCAGGCCAAGTCGAAGGAGGAGGAGATTAATTGACCAGGTGGGTCGAGGTCGAAAGAGGATAAACAAAGAATGGAGAAGGGTAAGGAGAAGATGGATATTCAGCCGGGGGGAGAAGTGGAGGAGATTCAGATGATCGAGGGGTGTGAGGAGAGGAAGTTCAGAATCGGGAAAGACTTGGAGGAGCCTATTCGGTCGAGGCTTATCGATCTGGTAAGGGAGTTCGCTGACATTTTTTCCTATACAACGGAGGAGTTGACGGGGATAAGTGCGGAAGTGATCAAGCACCGGCTGAACATCGGCCTCAGTGTGAGGCCGGTGAAACAGAAAAGAAGGCACCATGGGGCGGAGATGGACAATATCATTGAGAAGGAGGTCGAGAAGCTATTGGGAGCATGGCACATCAAGGGGATCCAGTTCCCCGAATGGTTGTCGAATACGGTGATGGTGTTAAAGACGGAAGGAAAATGGAGAATGTGCATTGATTTCTGTGATCTGAACAAAGCATGCCCAAAGGACTTATACCCACTGCCCAGAATCGACCAGTTGGTCGACTCAACGGCGGGGTGCGAATTGCTGAGCCTAATGGATGCCTCCCAGGGATATCATCAGATCCCTTTGGCGAGAGAAGACAAGAAGCGGGTGAGTTTTGTAACGAGTCGAGGAACCTATTGTTACGTAGTCATCCCGTTCGGCCTAAAGAATGCAGGCGCCACGTATCAAAGGTTGGTTGATAAAATTTTTAAGGAGCAACAGGGGAGGAACATGGAGGTGTATGTGGATGATATGTTGGTGAAGAGCAAGGAGGAGTTGGATCATGTGCGAGACTTGAAAGAGACGTTCTCAACATTGCAGAGGTATGGGATGAAATTGAATCCAGCTAAGTGCTCTTTCGGGGTGAGGTCGGGAAAATTCTTGGGTTACTTGGTGACCAAGAGAGGTAATTAAGTGAATCCTGAGAAGGTTCGGGCTGTAATGGAGATGAAGCCGCCGACGAATGTTAAGGAGGTGCCGATCTTAGCTGGTCGAATTGCGGGGCTGAGTCGTTTCATATCGAAGGTGGCGGAGAAAAGTGGCCCATTGTTTAAAACACTAAAGAAAAGCTCAAAATTTCAATGGACGGAGGAGGCGCAGAGGGCATTTGAGGAGTTGCGAGGGGTGTTGGCCAACCTTCCCTTATTGGCTAAACCAATACAGGGCGAGGAGTTGGTGCTATACATTTCTATTGGAGAGAGGGCTGTGAGTTCGGTGTTATTGCGGGAGGAATGGGTAGCGCAATTCCTATATATTACGTGAGCAGGGTGATGCAGGGGGCAGAGATGACGTATTCGGAGATCGAGAAGTGTGCTTTGGCTGTGGTCGTAACTGCTCGAAAGTTGAGACCTTGTTTCTTGAATCATAAGGTGAAGGTGCGAACGAACATGCCGCTGGGAGCTTCGTAAATGTGTTTAAATGTGTCTTTTGAGTCCCCTTCGCCTGGCCGACCACCAGTCTCTGGTCGATTGGTGAAATGGGCAGTCGAGCTGAGTGAGTATTCTTTGTTATATGAGCCGAGGAGAGCCATAAAGGCGCAGGTGTTGGCCGATTTTATCCAGGAAGCCACGAAAGTTGAGGAGGAGTCAGGAAGAATATGGCAGTTGTTTGTGGACGGATCTGTGGCACGAAGCGGAGCAGGATTGGGAATTGTCCTTCTCTCTCCTAAGGGCGATTACTTGGAATTTGCGGCTAAAGTGGGGTTCAAGGTATCCAACAACGAGGCCAAGTATGAGGCAATGATCAAAGGCTTGAGTTTAGCCAAATCGGGAGGAGCCCAAAAATTAAAAGTTCATTCTGATTCTCAACTGGTGGTCGGACAGTTTCAGGAGGGGTTTGAAGTTAAGGAGGACCGGATGCAAAAGTATGTGGATGAGATGAGGAAGTTGAAAGAGGAGTTTGATTCATTCGAGCTGATACAAATCCCTCGAGGAGAAAATGGTCGAGCGAACCTGTTATGGAAAATTGCTCAAAGCTTGGTAATTGTAAGATCAGAAGTGTCACCTTATTGCATCTCGAAAAGAGTGCAATCGAAGCAGAAGTGGCAGAAATTGAGGAAGTGGAGGATTGGAGGGCCCCAATCCTGGAGGAGCTGAGAGGGGGAACGGTAAAGGCAATGAGGAGATTTTTTGAACATGAAGGCATTCTTTACAAACGGTCGTATGCGGGACCGGATTTGCGTTGTGTCACTAAGGAGGAAGGTCGATATGTGCTGAGAGAGATGCACGAAGGATGCTGCAGTGATCACAGTAAGTCAGAGGGCCTTGGTCGCAAAGATTTTGAGGGCAGGATATTTCTGGCCCACGATGAGGGAGGATGCGAAGGTGATGGTGAAGAAATGCTTACAATGCCAAAAGCATGGCCCCCTCATTCACCAACCGGCAGAAGCGATGACGACGATGAGTACCCCTATGCCATTCGCCCAATGGGGTATCGAACTGGTGGGGCCGATGCCTCAAGGAACGGGGCAGAGGAAATTCTTGATAGTGGCGGTCGACTATTTCACAAAGTGGGTGGAGGCCGAGCCCTTGGCGAAGATTACGGAGGAAAAAGTAATTAAATTTCTATACAACAACATTTGCTGCTGGTTTGGCGTGCCCAAAGTGTTGATTTTCGACAATGGTACTCAGTTCAACGACAAGCGGATTCAAGCATGGTGCGAAGACATGAAAATCGAGCAACACTTTGCCTCCGTTGCTCATCCGCAAGCCAATGGCCTGGTCGAAGTAACTAACCAAATTATACTGAATGGGCTGAAAGCAAAGCTGGAAAAGGCCTCGGGGGCATGGGTCGATGAGTTGAGCTCGGTACTTTGGGCGTATCGCACAACCCCGAGGTCGACAACAGGAGAAACCCCTTTCAGTTTAGCTTATGGAATGGAAGCATTGCTGCCAATCGAGGTCGAGCTACCATCACAGAGGTCGAGCACATATAATATTGAACAGAACGAGGATCTAATGATGGCAGCCCTGGACACTATTGAGGAGCTGGTGGAAGAGTAGCAATCAGGGTGGAGGCGTACAAACAAAGGATGCGAGCCGCTCATGACAAAAAGGTAAAAATTCGCAGACTCCAAGTAGGCGACCTGGTTTGGAAACGCGTCGATGTACTCAAGCATGTGGGAAAGCTGGAACCGAACTGGGAAGGGCCATACCTGGTCGAGCTAGTGCACACAGGAGGAGTGTACTCGCTGAAGGATGCTGAAGGCCGATCACTTGCCAGGTCATGGAACATAGCTAATTTGAAAAAAATAATAAGTGTGAAATTTTTTTCCTTTTTTTTAGGAAAGCTGGAAAATTCGAACAAAGATGTAAATTGCAAAGTTTGCTCAAAAGTTAATGAAGTTCAGTGATTCTTCTGATTTTATTCGCTTTATTGCACATTTTCTTATGATTGGAATGTTGGTATAATTTGGATGACAGGATGTATGTGGTGTGGTTTGACTTGGAAGTCACTTGTTTAGAACATCCCTTGGGGTGGGCAGGTTGGTCGAAGACCTCCTGTTTGGAACATTCCTCGCGGGTGGGCAAGTGTGAAGACAAAAACCCACCATGACTAAGGCCCTCGGGCTGGGTGGTCTCTTGTTTAGAACATCCCTTGGGGTGGGCAGGTTGGTCGAAGACCTCCTGTTTGGAACATTCCTCGAGTGTGGGAAAGTGTGAAGACAAAACCCACCATGACTAAGGCCCTCGGGCTGGGTGGTCGCTTGTTTAGAACATCCCTTGGGGTGGGCAGGTTGGTCGAAGATCTCCTGTTTAGAACATTCCTCGCGGGTGGGCAAGTGTGAAGACAAAAACCCACCATGACTAAGGCCCTCGGGCTGGGTGGTCACTTGTTTAGAACATCCTTTGGGGGTGGGCTGGTTGGTCGAAGACCTCCTTTTTGGAACATTCCTCACGGGTGGGCAAGTGTGAAGACAAAACCCACCATGACTAAGGCCCTCAGGCTGGGTGGTCGCTTGTTTAGAACATCCCTTGGGGTGGGCAGGTTGGTCGAAGACCTCCTGTTTGGAACATTCCTCGCGGCTGGGCAAGTGTGAAGACAAAACCCACCATGACTAAGGCCCTCGGGCTGGGTGGTCGCTTGTTTAGATAATCCCTTGGGGTGGGCAAGTTGGTCGAAGACCTCCTGTTTGAAACATTCCTCGCGGGTGGAAAAGTGTGAAGACAAAACCCACCATGACTAAGGCCCTCGGGCTGGGTGGTCGCTTGTTTAGAACATCCCTTGGGGTGGGCAGTTGGTCGAAGACCTCCTGTTTGGAACATTCCTCGCGGGTGGGCAAGTGTGAAGACAAAACCCACCATGACTAAGGCCCTCGGGCTGGGTGGTCGCTTGTTTAGAACATACCTTGGGGTGGGCAGGTTGGTCGAAGACCTCCTGTTTGGAACATTCCTCGCGGGTGGGCAAGTGTGAAGACCAAAATCCACCATGACTAAGGCCCTCGGGCTGAGTGGTCGCTTGTTTAGAACATCCCTTGGGATGGGCAGGTTGGTCGAAGACCTCCTGTTTGGAACATTCCTCGTAGGTGGGCAAGTGTGAAGACCAAAATCCACCATCACTAAGGCCCTCGGGCTGGGTGGTCACTTGTTTAGAACATCCCTTGGGGTGGGCAGGTGTTGGTGTTATATACTTAAGCTTTGCTTTAGTGGATATTACACTTGTTATTTCTTGATGAATGAGAATTATGTTTGGTTAAATAAGTTCCACGTGCTGTTGTTTTGTATGTTGATAAGTGGGTCGTCATCGGGCGTACCAAAGATCACTATATCAGT